TGCTCACATTAATACTCTCGTCTAATGCTAAACTGAATGCTGCACAGCTACTTATCAAATCTTTTAAGGTTTCTTCAATATTGTCTGATATATCAGTAATCCTACGAGCCACAGTAAAGCGAGAGAGGTTGGTTAGGTTAGTTTTGTTTTACGGCATATCAATCTCATTGGGTTATTTAATGCTGACAAGATCTTTATTGCTTGTAATATTTTTTTCAAAAAATATATTGCTTATAATTTGTTCTTCAAGAATTCATTGCTGGTATGTATTCTTGGTATTAAAACCTATTTTGACACTTTCATAGTGTTTTAACCCCAGTTTGGTAATCAACTATTTTCCCATAGCTGGAACCCTAACGGGTGCGACCACTCCGAGTCAGAATGGAATTGGGAACATCAGCAAATAAGAGTTTGTTCCACGCTTCTCAAAACCTGATTAGAGGCCACGCTGTTGGATGTAGTTTAACGTCTTACTTATGACGCTGATGAAGTCTATCGTCTTACCCAGGACGCGGATGCAGTTTACCGTCTTGCCCAGGACGCAAAGAGAGCGAGGTTGATTTGCTGCACTAAAGGTCTCTTTTCGGGATATGTATACTCTGTAAGTATTTCCATGCAATTTTTCAAATAATCTCTGTCATTGAAAGCCTTTCCATTTTCGGCAATCAATTCACATACTTTGAAAATCAATTTTGTAACGAGTTCCGAGTCTCTCTTAAAATCAGTGAATACTCCTTGTTTCTTGTAAATAGATGTTTTCATTAGTTCACTTTCGTCAAATGTGTGATTTGCCATGATTGCATCGTATTGTGCAGAATGTTTCCTCATATAGTCGGTTGGTTTGTTTTGTTTTGTTTTACGGCATCTCAACCTCAGTGGGTTTTTTAATGCCCTCAATATTCTTATTGTTTGTAATATATTTTTTTCAAAAATGTATTCCTCCAAATATTTTTTCCTTCAAAAATGGTAATAAATTTTCTTCAAAAATTTATTGCTGGTAATATTTTTTTACAAAAATGTATTGCTGGTATTAAAAACTATTTATATGCTCTCATAGTAGTTGAGCCCAGTTTAGGGGTTAGTTGCCAATAGCAGAGACGCTAACATCACGGTCAGGGTGGACCTGAAAACACCAGCAATTAAGAGGTGATTCCTCGCTCCCCCAAACCTCCTGATCAGAGTCCTTGATGTTGGGCGTAGTTTATTGTCTTACCCAGGACGCGGATACAGGTTATCGTCATACCCAGGAGGTGGATGTAGTTTATCGTCTTACCCCGGACGCGGATGTAGTTTATCGTCTTACCCCGGACGCGGATGTAGTTTATCGTCTTACCCAGGAGGTGGATGTAGTTTATCGTCTTACCCCGAACGCGGATGTAGTTTATCGTCTTACCTCGGACGCGGATGTAGTTTATCGTCTTACCCAGGAGGTGGATGTAGTTTATCGTCTTACCCCGGACGCGGATGTAGTTTATCGTCATACCCAGGACGCGGATGTAGTTTATCGGCTTACCCAGGACGCGGATGTAGTTTATCGTCTTACCCAGGACGGCACATAGTGGCATTTAATGTTCTACTCCTTCATCGCTACTATTGTGTGTTAACAGATAAAGCAGACAATGCATTCGTTACGTTGCACAACAAAGTATTTGTGAATCCATTCCTTGTTAAAAATTCTTCCCTCATCATTATTCGTTTCTTAGTAGCAGACATTTTTAACTATAAAAAAATTAAATTCTTAGGTTCTGATATGGTAAGTAATTAATAAGTGAATTGGTACATACAATACCCATTTTAAATTTACAAACAGGGAATCTTTGTAATTGGCCCAATGATATGATACCTGATTTGATATGAGAGCTATTTGACCAATATTTTTTCAGTCACCATCAACCACATGTTATTACAATTAATAGCTTCTATTCACTTATTACCTCGCCTTAAGGGTTGATGAAAACTGGGCTACCAATACAAAATAGTGTACCATTCAAGACAGGTATCGTATCCCTACTACTGAAATCGACGGAGAAACAATACACACCAGTTGGTACTATCACCCACACAAACAATAATGAAATATATTACCGTATTTTATTTCTGTACTAATAGGGCAAAGAAGACAGCGACGATGAAATAAAGGATGAAGGTTTCCACGAAAAGGCTCGAACTCGAGACCTTGTGCTTGACACCACTCCACTGTATGGTCACTACTGCCCCCCACGTGATCATTTTCAATACCATCATGCATCAGGTCATTAATCGATTTTTGACTTATACTTTATCAAATAGCACATAAAGTACAAAACTGTAATTGTCGTTCAATGTGACCACGGATATAAAATTTTTCTCTCAAGAAATCATACAAACTCTAAAAATTATGTCCACAATAAACATGTGCACTTGAACCGATGACGTCCATCACATATTGAACAATTCCACACTCGTTAAACTTTGCCGAATGTTAGAAAAGTTTGGAAATCATGTACTCGCGTAAGCGTAACAATAGACCGTGGCGGGCCACACTAATAGGCTTCGCGGGCAACCTGTTGCACTCCCTATAAGAAGGAAAGCCCCGATTTTAAAACTCCGGTATCTAACTGTCATATCCAAGCACGGAAAAGGCTATGGAAGTAATTCCAGAGTTGAGCCCCGGAGGCAGTTGCATGTCAACACTGAAAATTTTCCGACAACTCCTGCAGCCAAACCTACTTTAAATATTATGTCCTACATTCTTTTGCCTCTTGTTGGTACGTCCCAAAAGGAACAGCATACGTATTTTTATACAAGCCAAGGGCAGTATACCAGTTCTACAACATATTTTATATATTAATATATACAATAATATGTAAACCACATTAATAGAAATAAACTGTTCATAATTAAGTCATTAGTATTTATGCTTAAAAATTTCCCTGAAAACTACAATCATCAAAAATTTAAATGAGATGTCAATCGCCATCTTCCTGTTCTTTCCTTAATCAAAATCAAAATCAGTCTTTCTCTTACTTTCACTCCCTGTAAACCCCCAGTGCACTAGTAGCATTCCTTCGTGCTCGGGGAGAAATTATTAAATAAATATATAATCAATATTTTAAGGATATAAGTTTGTTTTTTTTATTATTCTATAGTCTACTCACTCAAATGACTTGATTATATCGATGAAGACTTGCGTAGAACCGGGCACATGTGGAGAAGAACTGATAACAGTCTTCTTCAGATAAGAATTCAAAGTTAGACTGGATGCCAACCAAGGCAAGTGTATCTCGTCTTCTATGCTACTTAAACCATAGCTGGAGGAAAATAGATTTATACCTTTTCCCAAACGAACTCAGCCAGCCTATTTCGCTTCTAGTGCTTCTAACTGAAACACTATACACACGTCTACCCTCCCTCCACCTCTTTTCGTTTTTTTTCTATCTACCTATATATGCACATTTTTTTTTTTTTTGTATAAAGTTATTATAGTAATAAATAGCACAACGCATATAATCTATGTTGGCTACTTTTATTGTCCTCCTTAGGGAATTGGACCGAATAATTGTCAGTGACGGAGAGGGTGTAGCGAGTTAGAGAAATTCCCCAATCCTAGCATTGCAGAACCCTACTCTACAAGATTCTTAATGAAATATTTTGGTGAAAGCAATTACTTTTTTTTAAAGAGGGACTCGCGTCTTCTTGATAATTGCTGACTCTTCACTTCACATGCGAATGAAAAAGTAGTGCCTCATTTTTTTTCCATTTTGTGTTGTTGTCGCGGGACGTGTGATCAAATATATCGTATTTCTGAAATGCCATATATTTCCTGCAACTTGTGTGGCTGTTTTTTTTCTTTTTTGTTTCTTTAATACGTTCTTACACCTTTAATCTCACAGTAATCCCCGACTAACTTGAAGGTGCTTTACCAGATTAATGGGAATACAGAATCGATTCCTGTCGAGAGGCACATTTTCTTTAATAAGACTTTCGGTCTCTAGACCGGTAGATTTTAATTTCACGGTTTAAAAAAGAGGATACTGTAAAAACTATGGACGGTGTATGTGGGTAACGAGGAAGTTTTGCCGAAAATAAAAACAAAAAGAACAATCAATTATGTGCAAAATCGGAAAGAGATAGCTGAAATTTCTGGAACACATAAAGAAGAAAGATGGCTTGGAAAATGTGATACTCACTGGACATATTGGAGAAAAGAGGGATAGATGGAAACAGATAGTAACTTACCTAATGGACTCGTATAAATGGATGGTCGAACAGGGAGAGGAAATAATACTTACAAAAACAAATATTGATAAAAGCTAGAGAAAATAGGAAGATATGGAGAGCCATGACCGCCCACATCCTTAAGAGACACAGCTTATAGAAATAAAAGTACATCCACTACATGGCAGGTTTAAAGAAGCGTATAATACTCGTGTATAAGTCGACTTCATGTATTGTGCGACTCATGACATTTTTTGGCAGGAATTTCAACCCCCACCCAATACATGGGTATTGTGCAACGGTCCACCGAAAATTCATGGGTTTTATACTGTACAAAAATAGTACCTGTGTATAGTGCGACCCACTATTTTGGATGTAAAAACGTTACCATAAAACAGTTGTATTATCCTCGAGCATATATAGTAATAAAAAATGACGTTTTACCTACTGCTCGGCGTCTAGGAACAATAGTTCAATTTGAGCTGGCTCAATAATAACTGTAGTGAGGCACCCGGTGAGGAACACAGTCACAACAGCAGTCATGGTCTGAGAGACGAGGCCTATTGAAAATTTTACGATGCGGTTATCCTAAAAAAAAACCCACGTGGCCGATGTGTTGGAAGTGATTTCGGCTCCAGACCGAGGAAGTAATTATTGTGGGTCTCCATTCTGTAGTAATTATTGTGTGTGTCTCCATTCTTGCAATTCCTGTTCCGTTTCTTGTTCTATTCAAAAGATTGGTGAACAGATAAAGGAACAAAGAAATCATTCGCTGTGTTCTTTTGGTTTAAGTGAAATTGCAAATGTGTGTTTATTCACAACAACAGAAATCACTTACTCTCCTTTTTTTGTCGATTTCATTTGCCTTTTGTCTTTTTAAAGTTTCTTTCATCAAATCTTTCTTTATTTATTTAAGTATTCCTTTTCTTTCTTTCTTTCCACTTTTAACTTACCTCCTCTCCTTCTTTTCTCTTTTAATTTACCTTCCTTTCTTCTTTATTCCTTTCTTCGGATTTTTGTTTCTTTTCTCCTGTCTTTTTTCTTTCTTTCTTTCTTTCTTTCTTTCTTTCTTTTCCATTCTTTTCTTTCTTTCTTTCTTTCTTTACGTTCCACTTCTAACTTTTCTCATTTTCCTTCTTCCTTATCACTTTTAAGTTAGCTCATTTCTTTCTTTCCTCTTTTAATTTTCCTTCTTTTCTCCTGATTTTTCTTCTTTCCTTTTATTCTGTGTTCTTTCCTTCTTTCTTTCTTTTTTGTTTCTTTAAATTCCTCTTCTAATTTTCCCCGTTTTTTCTTTCTTTCTTTCTTTCTTTCTTTCTTTCTTTCTTTCTTTCTTTCTTTCACTTCTCTTACCATCTCTATTTTACTGTCTTTGCTTTCTTTTAATCTGTCTTCTCTTACCTTCTTTTACAATCTTTTCTTTTTCTTTCTTTCTTTGTTTCTTTCTTTCTTTTCATTGTCTCCTTTCTTTTCCTTTTTTCTTCTACTGTTTTTCTTTCTTATAGCATCACTGTTACGCATTCACAATCATTTTTTACGTATTTTTCCTTTCCTTCTTTCTGTTGTCCTTTCGTCTTCTTTTTTTCTTTTTCTTATTCAACATTCCTTCTTTCATCTTATGTCATACATTTAAAAAAAAACAAAGTAAAACCTACGTTTTCACTTAAATAACGCCCCCCCAATTTATACTTCACCTTAATTCTGCCAGCATATTCATAAGGTCCCAAACAAAGAAATGAGTTCTTAAAAGCCTGTATGTCACCAAAGTGGCTGACGGTGAGGCTGGCAGCTGAAAGAACTTAATTGGCTGTAAACCCTCTCAAAACAACATTTACTTTGTAGATTTAAGACACTCGCAGCCTCCTCTTTACCATGACTTTCACTTAACTTAGTAAATATTAGCCTAAATTTGACGTCCTGTTAAAAACTGTAGACACTTCGGTTTGTCTTAAACTCGAGAGAATTGCGCATTGTGTCAATAATTGCCTTTCGATCCCACATTAAAAGAAGGATTTTGAATGCTAATTTTGAATTATCCCTAATTAGATATATGGCGCAACACAATCTTCTAATCTTTCATTTATTTCCATTTGGCTTTGTGCTGCACAACGCTAATTTAATAAATCTCAACTCGAGTTACAAGCCTGGATGTCGGATAATGATAATGAAGGCAAGCAGGGTTTATTACAGTAAAAGATTAGCGTAGTAAAAACAATCTTTCAAACCCCGTCATGGCCTTGTATCAGACTAAACAAGTAAATATGTAAAATTTATGGTGCATTCAAAACGGTCATTTCCAATGATTCTAGCGATTCTGAATATTTTCCAGTCCCGGTTGATGAGGACAGCCTCTGTCTTGAGTTTTAAAGACATTAACAACTGATGGTTGTCCACTATTTGCTTTATTTCAAGGGAAAAAATAATCAGCTTTAAAACATTTGAATAAGTACGCTGAGATATTGTTTCATTTTCTGCCAACTTACTTAATTCTGTGAGGCGCTTCAGCGGTGTTGAGGCACTGTTTAAAATAACGCTTCAAACTGTCCAGAATCTCAATACTTGTATCCGTCATGAAAACACTGCCACAAAATGTTCCTGCTGAATAGTATTAATGAAGAAATGATAGCCGCGTCTTTCAGCTTTCATTTATCAAGCATAAAATACTAAAACTTTACGTTCTCATACAAATTAACAGCCTCCCCGAATTTATACTTCATTTTAAATATGCCAGTATATTCATCATCTTCCAGATAAAGCAATGAGTTTGCGAGATGAAAAATCCATCATTAAAACAATTTCTTGCAAAGCATTAGAACGTGCTTATAATCGTTTCTTCTTTAGGAGAATTTTTTTTTCAAATCACACTCCTTAGATTCAAATAACATTTAATAATATAATAGATAATCATTAGATATGTACATAAATTTTCCCGAATGTATCAGCCATAGTTAATCTTAAGCCATCATAAACTACAGTAATTCATTTTTGTCCAATAAAAGTTAATAAATAAAAAGGGCGTTACTTT